GGCCTGCGTAAGTAAGCAGGGATTCTTGTTTATACCGTGTTGTCTACTAATAGCAATGATCATCGTGTTTGTACCGTGTCGTTTACTAATAGCAATGATCATCGTGTTTATACCGTGTCGTCTACTAATAGCAATGATCATCATGTTTATACCGTGTCGTCTACTAATAGCAATGGTCATCATGTTTATAGCGTGTCGTCTACTAATAGCAATGATCATCGTGTTTATACCGTGTCGTCTACTAATAACAAAGATCATCGTGTTTATACCGTATTGTCTACTAATAACAATGATCATCGTGTTTATACTGTGTTGTCTACTAATAGCAATGACCATCGTGTTTATACCGTGTCGACTACTAATAGCAATGATCATCGTGTTTATACCGTGTTGTCTACTAATAACAAAGACCATCGTGTTTATACTGTGTTGTCTACTAATAACAAAGATCATCGTGTTTATACCGTGTCGTCTACTAATAGCAATGATCATAGTGTTTATACCGTGTTGTCTACTAATAACAATGATCATCGTGTTTATACTGTGTTGTCTACTAATAGCAATGACCATCGTGTTTATACCGTGTCGACTACTAATAGCAATGATCATCGTGTTTATACCGTGTTGTCTACTAATAACAAAGACCATCGTGTTTATACTGTGTTGTCTACTAATAACAAAGATCATCGTGTTTATACCGTGTCGTCTACTAATAGCAATGATCATAGTGTTTATACCGTGTTGTCTACTAATAACAATGATCATCGTGTTTATACTGTGTTGTCTACTAATAGCAATGACCATCGTGTTTATACCGTGTCGACTACTAATAGCAATGATCATCGTGTTTATACCGTGTTGTCTACTAATAACAAAGATCATCGTGTTTTATCGTGTCGTCTACTAGATAATAACATCTACGATTTGCAGCAAAGGGAGTGCGTCATTGGTATTACCAATGATGATACATAACAAGATGGTCCACTCCTCTCTTTGAGCCAATTAAAAAAGTGTCCTCAAAATTCGGTGGAGCCCTCTTCGCAAATGAGCGGACTTTGTAAACAGAGTTACCCTACTTGTGTGAAAAACAATAAAAGTGAAACCAAACAGGTTTTTGAATAAATTAGAACTCAAATATCTGAAGAACGCTTTCTCAAAATGGTAACGTTGACAATAAACCTTTTCCAGTGGAAGAGTCGACTATTTTATTCGTTTAATTTGTCTTTAGAATGAGAGACGAGAGGTCATTAAAATACCCCCCCCCCCCCCAACCTAAAACTCCGCACTGAACGAACCTGAACAGCTGATGAACAGCAGTCGATCTGCGCACGCAAGGAGATGCTATTCCTATTCTTCTTCTGGAGAAACGAAAGAGAGCTTCAAAACAAAGACTGCAGCGCCACCTGAGCCATTGCGCAGACTTCCGACAGACACTTTTTTGGCCGAGTGGACCATCTGGTTATGTTGTATCATCATTGGTAGTACTAAAGCTATAGTGTAAAGTATTATCACGCGGGTTTCCAGCTTTCAATTTTCCACCAAGAAAGGTTGTTTTTGTCTAAATATTGAGAGAGGGAGAGAGAGAGAGAGAGAGAGAGAGAGAGAGAGAGAGAGAGAGAGAGAGAGAGAGAGAGAGAGAGAGAGAGAGAGAGAGAGAGAGGGGGGGGGGGGGGTAAAAAGTAGTCAGAGACATAGATGCTGATTGAAAAAAAGTGGATCAGAAAGAGTAATATAGATTCATTACAATAAAGAGGAAAATGTCTTACTGCGACGAAATCTCTTCAATGCTAATATAAAATACTGTCCAGTTCGTAAAACTTGGGTTTTCTTCGTCGCCATCGTCAAAGTAGTAGTAGTAGTAGTAGTAGTAGTAGTAGTAGTAGTAGTAGTAGTAGTAGTAGTAGTAGTAGTAGTAGTAGTAGTAGTAGTAGTAGTAGTAGTAGTAGCAGTAGTGGTGGTAATAGTAGTAAAGATGATAATTAAAAATAGAAATAATAATTATGATAATAACAACAGCAAAAACAACAACAGCAACAACAACAACAACAACAACGACTACTACTACTACTACTACTACTACTACTACTACTACTACTAATAATAATAATAATAATAATAATAATAATAATAATAATAATAATAATAATAATAATAATGATAATAATAATAATAGTAATAATAATAATAATGATAATAATAATAATAATAATAAT